CATATAACATATAAGACTATTATAATAAATTGAGGTACACTTTTAGATATTTTGCACTTTATTTATACATTGGGTTTCTTTTTTTTTGCAGTACCAAGGATCAAACTCAGGACTTTGTGCTTGTGAGGCAGGCATGGTGCCACTGAGGTAAATCCCCAGCCCTACACTGGGTTTCTTATATAAGAGAAACCATGCACTATTTAAGACTGTGTGTCTAATTTCCTTCATGTTACATTATGGTCTTAAGGTGCATCCATTTTCCTACAAATGACTCAAGTTTATCTTTCTTTGTGGCAGAGTATTATTCCACTGTATATAAATATGTTTTCTTTCTCCATTCATCTGTTGATGGACATATAGGCTGCTTCCAAGATTTAGCTATTATGAATTCAGCTGCTATAAATATGGGTATGCACAAATCACTGTGGTATGATGTATTTAACTCATTAGGGAAGACACCTAGAAGAGAAATAGCTGGGCCAAATGGAATTTCAATTTCAATTTTTTGAGAATCTCCATAATGACTACCATGTGGTTGGACCAATTTATATTCTAACCAACAATAAAGAAAGGTTTCTTTTGCCCCGAAGTGTCTCCAGCATTTGTTACTGGTGGATTTCTTGATGGTGGCCATTCTTTCTGGAACAAAATTCAATCTCTGTGTTGTTTTAATTTGAATTTCTCAAATGGCCAGTGATGTTGAGCATTTTTTCATGTATTTATTAGCCAGCTGTACTTCTTCATCTGAGAAGTGTCTATTCATTTCAGATGCTCATTTTTTTATTGGGTCTTAAATTTGTGGGATGGGGGGCCTGAATTTTTTGAGTTCTTTGTATGTTCCAGATATTAGTCTTTTATCTGAAGTGTCCCACTCTATAGGTTGTCTCTTTTCTCTGTTAGTGGTTTCCTTTCCTGTGTAGAAGCTTTTTTTTTTTTTGGTAGTGTGTAGAAGCTTTTTAATTTGACAGGATCCCATTTGCTGATTCTTGGTATTATTTCTTGTATAACCAGGGTTCTGTTCAGAAAGTTTTTGCCTACACCACCTATGTCTTAAACAGTTTTACTTATTTCATCTTCCAGCAGATTGTTTCTGTTCCTCTTTGCTTTACTGCATCTTTCAATTGTATTCAAAAAATTTTCACTGTAAAACTTAAAATTTTTTTGTTAAAATTAAGTTACAATAAAAAAAAAAGAAAAGCAGATTTTTAATTAATTGCCTACCTCACTCCTGGTGTCAGGAAGTGATTCCTGTGGATGAAGACAAGTATGAGCTACCTTGATGACATGTTCCAATTTTTTTGGCTGTTCTTCCACTTTAGCAGCTAGAAATAAGGCTGCTGGAGCCACAGACTGGATAGAAAAAAATAAATCATATTTGAGGATCTCAGTCTCAAATAAATCAAGTTCTTTCTTTGTCCTACCTTCTCACCTCTTGTTTATGCTTTTCCCTCTATTAGTAGTATTTTCCCCTCTCCTATCCATTAATCCACTTGCAAACGCCAACCCTTCAACAAGCTCTCCTTAAAAATAACTAGGTTAGGGCCGGGGATTTAGCTCAGTTGTTCCAGTGCCTGCCTTGCAAGCACAAGGTCCGGAGCTCAATCCCCAGTACCCAAAAAAAAAAAGTATCTAGGCTACTATTGTTTATGTCTAGAAGATACTAGACATGAACAGTTTTCTAAGCCAGGTGTGCATACCTGTGTGCCTGGTGTGCACACCTGTAATTCTAGCACTCAGGAGGCTGAGGCAGGAGGATCACGGCAAATTGGAGACCAGACTGGGCTACATAGTGAGTTCAAGGCCAGCCTGAACTACATAGTGAGACACTGTCTCAAAAAAAAAGTATTTAGGAAAGGTAATCAGGTAACAGATGGAAGAAAACTAAGACACATTAAAGGTTCATTTTGGTTTTGGTTTTTGGAGACAACATCTCACAATGTAGTCCAGGCTGATGTTTTTTTTTTTTGGTACTGGGGATCGAACTCAGGACCTTGCACTTGGGAAGGCAGGTGCCAGAACCACTGAGCTAAATCCCCAGCCCAGTCCAGGCTGGTCTTGAATTCATTATGTATTCCACTCTAGCCTGGAACATGTGAGCCTTCTGCCTCAGCATTCCAAGAAGCTGGGATTACAACTGTACACCACCAAAACGTTAATTTAAAAAAAATTTAATAAACACTAGCAAGTAAAGTTTAGAGTAGGGAACTGAAATATAAATAAAAAAGAACAGAGGCAATATTGGAAAACTAATAGGGCAGAACCAAATACATGCGTGTATTTAAATACAGAGAAAAATCTAATGGGATATGCGCCTCATGAAATTCTATATCAAGCTTGCTTACCAATCATTTTCTCATCAAAGGTAAGGCATATCTTCTTAGAGATACACACTATTTCCTTATGTTATGTCTCTAATGTTGTTTGAAATTGTCCATATTCAAATATCTTGTCCTAGCCAGGCATGGTGGCACAGGCCTATAATCCCAGCACCTGCGAGGCTGAGGCAGGAGAATAGTTTTGAGTTTGAGGCCAACTTGGGCCACACAGTGAATTCGAGGCCAGCCTAAATTACATGAGACCTTGTCTCAAATAAATAAATAAATAAATAAGATCAACAAATGTAAAAAGCTGTAAGAATAAAGTAGAAGTCACACACACACACACACACACACACACACACACACACACACACACAAAGGTAAGGTTTGTCTAAGAAAAATAAATTTTTTATACTGGTGATTGAACCCAGTCAAGACCCAGGTACATTCCCACATCCCCAGCTCCCTTCCACCCCATGTTCTGGAACATGGTATTGCTATGTAGTCCTGTTAAGTTGCCCAGGTTGGCATTAAACTCATGATCCTCCTGTTTTAGTTTCCTGAGTGCTGAAATTACAGACATACACCACCACTCCTGGCTCCCAATCCCATATATACTGAGACAGGGTTGCCCAGGCTGGCCTTGAATCTGCCGTCTTCTTCCCTGTCTGAGTAGCTTTGTGTGTTCCACCATGCCCAGCTTCTATGAGGAATAGCTAAATTAGGCATGGTGGTGCATGCCTACAATCCCAGCACTCAGGAAGACTGAGACAGGGGGATCCCAAGTTCAAGCCCAGCCTGGGCAAGACAGCAGGACCATGTCTCAAAATTTAAAAAAAAAAGAGAGAGAGAGAGAGAAGCTAATATGTATTATTTTTTGGGCAAGCACTTTTTAAATTAATTCATTTAAACCCTAACAACTATTCTATCAAACAGGCACTATTAATAACATAGCAATGAAAAATCTGAGGCCTATGGTCATTTTCCCAAGACTATATAACTAGTAAGCACTGCAGTAAGTTCCAAATCTAGACATTCTTTTAACCCGGGGCCTCCAGCACACTAAGCATGTGCTTTACCACTATGCTATACCCCCAGCTCCAAGGACTACATTTTGAAATATATAAAATACAACATAGCACTGGGGATTTAGCTCAGTGGTGCTGCTGCCTGCCTCGCAAGCACAAGGACCCGAATTCAATCCCTCATATAAAACAACACAACAAAACAAAACAAAAAAACCAAAAAATCATGGGTGCCAGGCTCCAAAATACTATAAACAAAGAAATACAGCAAAAGGGGAAAAAAACTCACAACCCCCTATGGCTCTAATACATGAAAGAGTTCATATAAATAAGATAATCACAACAATAAAAAAGGACCAAAGCAAATAAACAAGGCAATTTTCATTCTTCTATTTCACAAGAACAATGATCAAAAGGAAAAGCTCAACTTCACTAACTGAAAAAAATAATTTCAGACCTCATTTATCTTGTTTATCGATGAACCCTTTGAACCTGTTCAATAAAAAAATTGGGGGAGGGTTTCCTAGGTTACCAAGGCCTTCACACTGAGCTACATCCCTAGCTGTTTCTTTTATAAACTTACTAAATTGGCCAGGCTGGCCTCAAACTTGCAATTCTCCTACCTCTGCCTCCCAGAGTGCTAGGATTACAGGCATTAGCCACCACTCCTGGCTATAACTATTTCCTAAAGTAATAAATATTTGTGGTTAGTCAGGATAAACACAAAGGAACCCTCTCCTATATTACTGGAAACAATTTATACTAGTAAAATCTTTCTGTAGGGTAAATTAACAAATGAAAAATTTTACATACACATCATAATTCCACCTACAGAAATTTAGAAACAATCTGAATATCCACCAATAGACAGCTAGTTAAAAGAAATTATGGTAACACAAACACTATGTAGAGGCCAGGCATGGTGGCACATGGCTCTACCACTGAGCCACATTCTTAGCACTTTATTTTTTTTTTTCCTAAGATAGGGTCTTACTAAATTGCCCAGGTGGGACTCTCACTTGGAATCCTCCTCCCTCAGCCTTCCTCTGTAGTGGGACAATAAATGTATGCCACTGCACTTGGCACACTCACAATCCTGATTCTGCCAATTTCTTATATTACATGAACTACATCCAGCTTCACAGAGTCTGTTCCTACAGCATTAAAAAAGGAGCTCAAGGGTTGGGGGATTTAGCTCAGTGGTTCGCCACCTGCCCTACAAGGGCAAGGACCTGAGTTCAATCCCCGGTATCAAAAAAAAAAAAATCCATGAATCTAAATCTAAAATAAGTTTCTTGAAAAACAACTAAAATATTTGATTCAATGATCCATATGAAATGTTCATCAAGTTTATCCTCATTATCTTGGTATTTTATTAAACAAATATGGTCTTACCTATGTTTGAATCATCATTATGATTTTATTTCCAAGTTATTTAGAATTAATGTTAAATGGGACCATTTCAGGTAGCAAAACAGAAAATAGCACTACTGTATTTACTATTTTGTTCAAGAAAAAAAAATTCTTTTATTACTTTACTATTATTTTCTTTTTCCTGTTTTTGTTTTTGTTTTCAGTCAGGGTCTCATTATCTAGTCCTGCCTGGCCTCAAATTCAAAGTGATCCTCCTGTCTCAGCTTCCCAAGTGCTAGGATTAGACATGTGCCACCTTGCCCAGCTCTTTCCTAACCTTAAAAGTCATTTCCCCTGTCATTATCATATACTATACTTTCCCCGCCAACCATTCATTTGAATTTTATTGAAGACTTTTGGAAAATCTAAATACTTAACATTCATCTTTCTATGACCATATTAGAATTTACCATTTGGAAAGTTATACTTGAATTAAGCATGATTTCCCTTTTAATGCTATTCCTCCTAAAAAAAAAAAAAAAGTTGACTTTACTAGCAAATTTACCTAGTCTACAGATTATTAACCCTACCAGAAAACTAGACAGGAAAACTGCAAGGCTAGACTCAAAATAGCAGTGTGACACAGAATGAAGATAATCAACCCTAAATTCTAAAATTCAATTCCCATTTAAGTAGCAAAGACCAACCACAAAATAGGTAGTTGTAATAAACCACCAAATGCTATTATACTTACATTTCGGTGAAACTGTGTGAAAGACTGAATCATGTAGAATCGATGCATATATACTATAGCAGTGTTGATAGTCAATTGTGAGCTGAAGTGTTCAAGTTAAGGTCCAAAAACCAGGCAGGAAGGCTGTATAACTACCAAAATATAATCTCCAGCTGCTTCCCAAAAGATCAAATGGCCAAACACAGTAGATGGTCCTAAGTGTCCTTCTCCAAGTCAAAGAGCGGTCTGTTTTCTTTCACTAAACTGCCAATTGACAGCATAATGCTTTCAATTAACAAATATTTAATATAAATTTACTGAATAAATAAAAATTCTTGGGATGAATCAGGATGGAATATAAACTACGTAAGATCTTAAACCTTTCAGTCAGTTACTTTCTACAAATCCTATGATGAAGATCCATTAGTCTAGACTCTCTCTTTAATGTGATTTAGAAGGCTGTCCCTAATCTGGCCTGTGGACACATAGCCACTATCTCTCTCATCTTCTAAATTCCAGCAATTAAATTTAGTTTCACTTCCCTCTGGCAATCTCACCCTCATGATCCCTGGAGCCAGAAAAACTTTGAAATGATTTGATACCCATTCATTGAAGAAAAAAACGGCCCCCAGGCTTTGTGCTTGCCTGTGCCCTTATCTCCAGCCCCAGATTTCAAAGATAAGGTAATTCGGTGACCCCTAAGCCCAAGAAAACTTGTAAATGTCATACTTCTAAGAAGCTCCTCAGAAGACAATACCTAGTATAGAGAGGTCACTGTCCCATGATCACAACATTAATGACACACTAACAAGAAGGCGTAGGGCCGGGATTTGGCTCAGTGGTTTCGCCACCTGCTGCGCAAGCGCAATGACCCAGGTTTGATCCCCGGTACCAAAAAAAAAAAAAGAAGGCATATTAAGGATACACTGAAACAGACTTAAAAAACGGTTTAATTAGCACAGACTGGATGCTTAGGAAACAAATGAATATCAACAGGAAACAAAATGGCAAGAGGACACCTACTTTGAAGCAAGCACACCCTTAATATACAAACATTACAGTCAGCAAGACACTTAAATGAAAGCTGAATAAACTGAAGGGGAACCTAAGGCTAAAAACAATTTTATATACACAGTGAAAAGAACGCCACCACAGAATGAAAATATTCTCGGACAAAAGTACTGTGGGGGAGAGAGTCGCTAATCACCTTATCTTTGAACTATGAAGAAAACGAATATACACCAGGGTAACGTGAAGACCCAATGTTCTGTAAACTGTTTAAACATTAGATCCATGGGTCTACAACACTAGAAGCTAAACTGACATTTTTCATTCCTCTGAAATTCGATAAAACTCGAACAATGACTATTACTTGAAGTCTAAATGCCAAGCATTGTGGTGGGCACAGAATCAAACGCAAGCGCTATCCATTTTACAGACAAGACGGCCCAGAATTTGACAGTTTTCTTAAACACCTAGTAGAAGTGGGAAGAACGTATTTTAAACCAAAGCTGGTACACCAATTCTAGACCACCTTCAGAAGACCCTCTGGTATTGAATTTCCGGAAACTTTTTACACACTTAAGTTTGGGAGGCAACCGTCAACAGTGAAATCTCTACTAGACCTCTAGGTCAGAGCAGAAATGAGAATCTCAATGTCACTAGAGCAGGAGGGACTAAGAAGGCCTGCCTAAAACAAAGCCGGAAAAAGATACGAATTCCCAGCAAGGTTGGTGGCACGGGTGAGCGAGCGGGAAAACTGGCTCCGCCTCGCATCCCTCGCGCGAACACTTTCTGCCTGCCCCATCGTGGGCTCCCCGCCTAGAAATCCAGCTCCTACCACCTTCTTACCCCCTTCTGTCCCCGCCAGAGCCTGGGGCCTGGACGCCGGAGCACGGCAAGTCCTAGGCCCAACTCTAGGCCGCAAGGATACACGTTTAGACGTTGTCCCATGTCCTGCAGTAGATTTGCCGCCTGCTGGCGGTAAGAAAGTTCTTTATCTGGGTCCAGGCCAAAACGACGGGATGGGCTATTTTCCAGCTGTTCTCGAGTAAAATACCACCGTTTGTTATTATTCTTCCTCTCTTCCTCCATAGTGCTTCAACCAAAAGGCAGCAGCAGAGGCTGCAAGCACCTCCCAGCGTCACCGAAGCGGCGACACACATCCGCTGTTGCAGGGGCAACCGCGACGTGACGAACTTCCGCTAATTGTCTGACACGCTTCCGCCGAGGAAGCGAAAGTCGCAGCGCCTACTTCCGGAATGGATCGCGCGACACCCTGTAGCCGCGTTAACAGTCACTCTACGACCGGGAAAGACCTTGAGACGAGGACGCGCGCGCCAGTCATGTGACAGTTGGGAACTGGTGTGGAATTAGAAGTTCTCTTTTAAAACCCGCGTTTCTCCCCGCGAGAACTGGGCCGAGCGTTAGCGCCCTGACTGAGCGGCCGGGCGACCGTAGTGGGCTCGTGAGGTGCACGCCCAAGCGCCGCTCGTCGGCTCCTGAGAGAGCTCGGTTTGTGGTGGAAATAGCGATGTAAAATGAAGGCAGCGGAGAGTTTAATAGAAGAAATAGGCGAGGCTTTCATAAAACTGAAGAGTAATTAAAGACAGTGGCCCTGTTTTATATCGAAACAAAGCAATAGTGTCAAGTATTACAACCCATTTGGAAAGTCACTCTGCAATTTGTAGCCCAAAGCCCTTCCCATATTTCGGTATAGAGATCAAACTTAAAGGAATAAAGTGAAGTTAAGCTAATGTTTAACATCAAGCACAATACCGACGCTTACTACACTGTTGTATGTAATCGATACAAATTCAAGAGGAAATTTTATTTTTCGGTCCTGGGAACTGGATCCAGGGCTTTCAGCACTGAGCTACTATACAATTTCAGCTTTTTTTTTTCTTTTGAGATGGAGTCTTGCTAAATCGCTGAATTGCACAGGGTGGGCTCGAATCTACCAGGAGCCTCCCAGACTCCTAGGATGGGAGGCGCGTCCCACCATGCCCCGCAAGAGGTAATAATATTTGAATCCCTGTTTGGAGATGGGCAAACTAAAACTACTTGTTAAGTGTGTAGTTTCCACCGCCATCCCTCACGTGAAAAATTTGTAAATTCAAGACTTTCTGTCATATTGTCCAGCTCCAAGCCAGGCCTTGGTGTAATCCCAGCAATCTAGAATGCTAAAGCCGGATTGCAAATTCTCTCACCCTAGGGAATTTGGTGATATGGCGGTATCCTGTTTCAAAAATAAAAATAATTTTAAAAGGGCTGGGATGTATCTCAGTAAAACAGTTCAGTCCCCAGTACCAGAAAGAAAAAAATTATAACGGCTCCATCATCTAATAGCTGTTTGATTCTGGGCAAGATGTTAACCTCTATGAGCCTCTCCTGTAAGATGTACATGATTATTAGTATCTGTATTTTTAAGTTTGAAACAGAGCAAGTGAAAACGAGTAGCAAGCATTTATAATAGTTCCTGGTAGTTAGTGATACATTCTGTAGATCTTATTATCAAAGTGTGTGTGTGTGTGTTTACATTGTCTTGAAATCGAAGACAAGGCCAATGCCTTCATTTTTGTATCCCTATACAAAATAATACAGATACAAAACACAAAATAGGGATACAAAAATAGTACAAAATAGTACAGATCTGGCCCTAATAAACAGTAAGTCATTGTCAAATGTTCACAAGAGGTCTGGGGATTTAGTTTAGTGGTTCTGCCACTCAAGCGCAAGGTCCCAAGTTCAATCCCTGGTACCAAAAAAAAAATGTTCACAACATCCTGCAGTACAGAAACAGACTGGAGGAAATCATATATAGTTTGTCCTACAGTACACAGCTAATAAGTGTAGGGATTTGTTTTAAAACAGGTCTCCCTATGTACTTCAGGCTGGCATGGAACTCACTAGTCCTTGAACTCCTGTCAATCCTCCTGCCTCAGCCTCCTGAGTGCTAGGATTACAGGTGTCTAATCACCCTGGTAAGTGTAGGTTTTTTCATTTGTTTTTGTGGTGCTGAGAATTGAACCTGGGGCCTCACACATACTAGGCAAAACCTGTACCAGTGAGCCACATCCATGGCCCCAGGTGTCAATTTTAAAGTCAAACATAATTCCATTATTGTTGCCATTCTAGCAAACTATATTATTTGTTTTCTGGAACTACTCTCAGTTTACCTTGATTAAATTTGGATATTGGAATTGTCTTGTGTTTTTAATATTTCAGGTTTTGTCATTTCTAACAGTGTATTTGATTCTAATTCATCCTCAGAAATGTTTCTTTCCATTTCAGGTCCTCCTCTGCCATACAGTTCCTACAATCAGTATTAGCTCCATTTGACCCTGTAGAAATTGAAGTTCAAAAAGGTTGAAATTACTCACAGAAATGAAAGAATTCACACGGAGAAGAAACTCTTATGTAAGCAATGTGAGAAACCATTAAGTATACGCAGTCACTGACAAATACATGAAAGAACTCACACTAGTGAGAAACCCTATATATGTAAGTAATGTGGGAAAAGCATTCAGTACACACAGCTAAATTGTCAAAGACATGAAAAAAATTCACACTAGTGAGAAACCCTATGTATGTAAGCAATGTGGGAAAGCATTCAGCAGACACAGCCAATATCAGATACATGAAACAAGTCACACTGGTGAGAAATCCTATGTGAGTAAACAGTGTGGGAAAGGATTTGTTGCTAACTCCTCATTTTGTAGACATAAAAGAACTCACATTGGAGAGTAACCCTATGAATGTAAGCAATGTGGAAAAGCATTCAACAGACACAAGGTCAAATGCATGAAAGAATTCACACTAGGGAGCAACCCTATATATGTAAGCAGTGTGGGAAAGGATTTGCTACTATTCATTTTGTAGACATAGAAGTACTTACACCTGGGAGAAACCATATATATGTAAGCAATGTGGGAAAGCTTTTGGTATACATGACTATCATCAAATACATGAAAGAATTCACACTGGGGAGAAACTATGTATGTCAGTCTGTTTTGAAAATTCTGCAGAAATTTCTCATGTTGCAGAGACCTGTACAAATAAGAAATAATGAAAAGTTTCTTGTCAATTATTCATAAATTTTCCAGGAAATACACTCCCAGGTGGAGATATCCTAAAGTATAAACATAGTGGGGGTTTTTTCAGTAAAGTACTTGTAAATCTCTAGATTATATGTCTGTAGTGTTCACTAAAAAAGTAAATATTGATTTGATGTAATGATATGTTTATGTAAGCAACTGTCTTTAAGCATAATATGTCTTTTAATTAAACAAGGTGAATTTAAATGTATTTTTCACTTCCAAGTAGGGTTAGTATTTATGTACTTTGTTTTGTTTCTACAATTGGGAGTTATAGGCCACTAAAAAATAAATTTTGTTACTTGTTTTTTGTTAATTGTTGGGATTTTTCCACTAGCTTTGGTTTAAATTCTTGGTATGTATACTCTTTCTTCTGTGTAACAAGAGATATTTTTAATTGGATATTATATTTTATATTAAGGTATATATTTTTAGAGACAAGAACATGTGCTTTTGACAAAGTTCAGTTGTTTTCACTCAACTTGCATATTGGCAAATGTTCTTATTCATACCCTGACAAGATACCTGCATATATCCCACTGTAATTGTATATTATATAAAGTGCACGATTTTGCCTATTTTTCTTTCATGTTGGAGCCAGTATTATCATTTATATAAAATGTTATGTTTTCTTACCATCAAAAAAAAAACTTAGAAAAACAACATGCCTTTCATAACACTCCTCAATTCCATGTCAAGTTGAAATCAGCCATGTTGTGTGTGTGCTAGTCACATTAACAATCAGATTTCCGGAAGAAAAAATGTGTGCATATATTGATGTACATCAGTTCATTGTAAACTTTGCTCTTATAAAACATGTATAGCACACAATTTATATAAAATAAAATATGTAATCATCTTTATAGTAAATTTTCTATAGTCAACTGATTCTTACCAAATACTTTCTTAGAACTTGGACAATCTTTTTTGTGTAGTACTGGGATTGAACCCAGGGCCTTCACACTGAACTATATCCCCAGCCCTTTTTTATTTTGAGACAGGGTCTTACTAAGTTGGGCTTGAACTTGCCATTCTCCTGCTTCAGCCTCCCAGAGTGCTAGAACTACAGCCATGTGCTGCCACATCCAGCTTTTTGCCAAATTCTTAAATCAGAAGCCAACTTACTGTTGGATTTGACAAGTGAGTATAGCTTTTTTTGTTTTTTTATTTTACAGTATTGGGGATTTGTGTGTGTGTGTGTGTGTGTGTGTGTGTGTGATTATAGTATTGGGGATTGAACACTGGGCCTTCACACTGCTACATATCCAGCCCTTTATTTTATTTTATTTCAAGACAGGGTCTCTCTATGTTAAGTTGCCCAGGCTGGGGTCAAACTTGTGATCCTCCTGCCTCAGCCTCCCGAGTGCTGGGATTACAGTTTCTCTAGACAAATACAATTGATGAGACCTTCCAGTTTCCAATGTGATATGTAAACAACTTAGAAGTCATCACACCAAGGCTGAGGATATAGCTCAGTAATAGAGTACTTCCCTAGCATGCACATGGTCCTGGGTACTAGCCAAACAACAAGAAAAAAGCCAAGCAAACTGAAATTTAACAACCCTTATACCCATCAGAGAATTGAAGTCACAGAGCAAACCCCCACCACAAAAAACTAGAGAGATAGCCGGGGGATTTAGCTCAGTAGTTGCATGGCCTGCCTTGAAACCTCAAGGTCCTGAGTTTGATCCTCCATACCAAAAAAAAAAAAAAAAAAAGACAAGGGTCCTACTAAATGAAATCAGAATAAGAAAACAGAAAGTCATGACATATGAGAGCAAAAAATACAACAGGAGCTAGCAAATGGTAGAAATATACTAATAAAACAATTGACTAATTTCTGGAGACTGTAAATGGACTAGTTTAAGAGATGTTTGTTTTTGAGACACGTTCCATGTAGTTTAGGCTGGCCTTGAACTCAATATGTAGCCCAGGCTGGCCTCAAATCCCACAATCCCCCTACCTCAGCTTCCCTAGTGCTGGGATTAGGTGTACACCACCACACCAGGCTAAGAGATTTTTTAAACTTTTGTTGTTGTTGTTGTTCCGGGGATCAAACTCAGGACCTTGCGCTTTCAAGGCAGATGACGGCACCACTGAGCTAAATTCTCGGCCCTTTAAAAACTTGAAGGCACATTTTTAAGGGATCTGTCACATTTTTGAGAATTTATCTCCAGGAGTACCCCCAGATTCTCACTGTGAAGACTTTAGAAAAAATCCTCTTAGGGCCAGGGATTTAGCTCAGTGGTGCCTTTGTCTGCCTCAAAAGCACAAGGTCCCAAGTTGATCCCCGGTACCAAAAAGAAAAAGGAAAAATCCTCTTGTGCTTCCAGCAGGAACAAATAAAAATTGCCCTTTTTTGAAATAACACCCAAAGCATTCTGTTCATTACAAAAGTCTGTTCTCCAGGGAAAATTTTTAGAGAATTTGGCTTTACCAGAGCCTAACCAATGTAGGAAAGAGGAAATAACCAACTGCAGTCTCCTTTAGCTCTCCTTTTACTCTAAGGTGGTGGTGGCAATGTTAGACACTTGTGGAAGGCACTGCCCAGTGGTGCATAAGCTCAATGAAAGATTGAGGCTTAATGATAAGAATTGTAAAATGCTCTCCTCAGATCCCTACTCTTACAACTACATTAGTAAGGCCCCTGTATACTAACAGAGGATTACAACTGAAAGAACTGCAAAGTCAAGACCCTTACATTTAGGAAGGATTATCTAAGGAAAATCAATGATAGCAGGAGAGACAAAACAAGGACATCTGGGAAATTTTAGCCTGACACCTATAGCAATAGCAAACAGTAAACCAGCGTAATCCCAACCATATAAACATAAAACCTAAGCTTTACCTAATGTCATGTCCAAATTTCAATAAAAAAGAATTACAAAGCATGCTAAAAGGCAAAAAATACACTCCATAGAAACAGAGCAAGCACCAGAAGCAGACACACACAGCAGAAATTTTGGAACTAACAAACTGAGAATTTCAAATAATATGTTGAAGACTCTAATGGAAGCAATGGACAACATGCAAGAACAGATGGGCAATGTAAGCAGAGAGATGAAAGCAAAGAATCAAAATGAAAGCCTAGAGATCAAAATCTCCAAATCAAAATGAATACTTTTGGTGGGCTCATCAGTAGACTGGTCAGACTTCTGGAAAGATGGCAGAGTGGTGAACAGCAGAGAAGCAGCCTCTCTGAGATTTAGTATCTCGGTATCTCTGAGATTTAGCTTCTGGAACATGAGGAAGAGAAGAAAAGAAGTGGGTTCCTGGGACCTAGCAGGGATCTGAAGCCGGAGCAAAGACTGCACAAGCAGGTGGCATGTGATGCGTTCTCCCTGAGCCCTGACTCATTGCATGGGAGGGGCAGCTCAAACCTGCAGACAGATGGTGACTACTGGTGACCCCAGAGGCCTCTACAGAGAAATGTACCAGTGGAATGGAGCAGTGGACACAGGCGACTGCAGTGGCTGGTGAGTTATTCAGGTTCAGACCCCCCACCCCTCCCCGCAAGGGTCAGTAGCCATCTTGGTGAGGAGCCAACTGAGATCAGAACTCAGAGCAGCTGTGGCCTGGCTCCCAGTGTCAGGCTAAGGCAGAACACTGAGTTCAAGTGAGCAGACAGTCAAGGAGCTGAGTTTAAGCTGGCAGGGACCTGAGTTCAAGCAGGCAGGAGGCACACAGTGTTGAAAGCTGAACAAATTTGGTTCCAGCCTCACAGCCAGAAACCAACCTAAACTTCAGTGGAACTAAAGGTGCAGGCTTACTAGGATTATCCACTACCCTACCATAAATGTATGGCTGGCTTGTTGAGATTCATCAACAACAGATCTGGGCTCTGTCCACTCTGTCTACCAGTGACAGCAGAGATATGCCCTGAAGTAGACATTTTTTTCCCTTGGTTTTTTTTTTTTTTCATTTTGTTTTTTCTTTTTTAGAACCTATGAAAGAACTCTTACCTCTGACCAGTAAGTAATCTTGGTGGAAGACCTCCAAAATGATCTAGGGGAAAGAGATATAACTCCCAAACTTACTAGATATCTGAAACTCAAGTTCATGTTCTCTAAAATTGAAGAATGAATTCTAGGAACAATTGAGGTTAAGAGTAGGAAAAATTTACTGAGAGAAAGAAACCGTCTGTCTAAGAGAAACACAAGGGGGACCGGAAAGTGAGTTGCCCCTATTTTGTTTTTTCTTGCTCTTGTTTTTATGAATCTGAACATTGTTTCTAGTTTGTTATTGTTGTTCTGTTCTTGTTTTTATTTTCTCCTCTCTTTCCCGCCTATCTTCTTCACATTTCCCAAAGTTCACATAATCTTCCTTTGTCCTCCAGCCTTGCTTCTCATCTTTTCCTCTTCTGTTTCTCTTTTTTTTTTTTCTCCTAACCCCTTTAAAAATTTTTCTCCTGAGGGTGAAATTACAATACTGAGGGCATATTTACTGTATACAATTTTCTGGTTTGTTTTAGATTTTGTTATATAATCACAAATATAGTTCACATGGATAAAGGTGGCAAATTGATAGTTACCACCATTTGTTGTTTTCTAGGCTGTATTTGATGCTCTTGTTATTGCTGATTCTTCTACTTTAACCAGGGTGACACAATGGTTCTAATCAGTTGTTCTTCCTGGTGTGCCAAGACTGAGATTGCCTAAGGGTCATAAACAATACTGTAGGCCAGTTCCAAGAACCAGGGGCTAAGCCAAATAGGTAGCAACTTCTCACCCCCAGTAAACTGAAGAGATAGGCTCTTGCAACAGACTCAAAACCCAAAACCCTGGAAGACATCTCTGAGAAGTAGTCATTTACTAAGGGCTCTCAATACTAGCAATAAACCTACCTGCCATAAGCAATTTACAAGCATCAACCCAGGAATTAAACTAAAAAAAAAATAGAAAATGAGAAGACAGTTAAGCAAGATGCAACCCCAGACATCTAGCTCACCAAAGGAAACCCTAGGGGGCAATGAGATAGAACAAGGTGAAAGCTACCCACTTGTACTCTCTGAAGTGTTAACAGCCAGAAGTAACAAAGCAGATGAATGAGGCTCTAGAAAAAAATCAAATCAGAAATAATCTCTCAGATAACTACAAAAATGGTGACCATGAAACACATGATTAGACTCTAGAGCAGATACAGATCAGTAGACTGGTCATGACTAAGAAAAGAATCAGCTGGCTTGAAAATATGTCAACAGAGCTGGGCATGGTTGGTGCATGCCTGTAATCACAGCACTGGTGAAGGCTGAGGCAGGAGGACCTCAAATTCA